AAGTATAGTAAAATAGTAGTAAAATAGTAGTAACATAGTAGTAAGTAGTAGTAGGCGTATTGCTAACTTATAGTAAATGTAAAGTGTAACTACTATGAATTAACTATATAGTTACTTTATAGTTACTTTATAGCTAATTACAAGTAGCTTTAAAGTTGCAAATTGCAAGTTTCAGTAAAGTATATTTATATATTTGTTGTTACTAATCTAATTAGAAGATAAATAATACTGACTAATTTGGTATATGTAATATTAATCTTTTAGAAAAGTAAACTGAAATGTCTATTTTTTACAAAATTTTTTTCAAAAAAAATAGTAAACTAATGAGTATATATAAGATTCTTCTTGTAAGTTTTATAGTTGTATAGTTTAGTTTTTAAGCTTTTACTAAACTTGATAAGAGTCTTGCTACTTTTTATTCTCAGAATAACTCTTCTAGTTTGGATACCAAATATCTTAAGGAGTTTGCTAGAAAAAACTTGATCTCAAAAAAAACTACCAGAAAATACTTACTTTTTGATATATCATATTTGACTTAGGCTTTATTAACAACATTCTACTTAACATAAAACCAAAAGTAGTATCTACTTAGTTACTTTCTTATATATTTTTACTGTAATTTAACTTTGTTGTTGTTGACTAAGAGATTATTAAGAAGAGTTGGCAAACAGAGAATTTAATTATAGTTTTTATATTTAAAATATATATATAATGTGTGAAAATAATTTTTATTTTTTGAATTAGTTCTGATTTATTTAAATAATATATTGTGTAGATTGGTATACTTTATATTTAACCATTTTGATTATTAGTTATTTTCAAAAAAAATATCTTATTAATAAAGTTTTGATATTAGTAATCAAACTTTAAGATACAGTCTACCTTCCCAAAACCGATCCTGTCAAAATTAATAACCTGTTATACCCGATAAAAAATTGGTTCACCATGTCTGTTCCATAATTCAAACTTGATAACCTGCTATTTCTGATAACTGATACCCAAATGACCAGATACCTATAAGATATCGGGTTTGTCAGGTAATATAAATCAATTTGATTGGCTCAGATCGAGCTTTGTGTGACCAAGTAGATATATGATAAATATAATCTAGCCAATTATATTTATTTATAATCATGTGACCAGAAAGCCATTAGTATTTTAAATCTGATAACCTCTCAAAACTGATACAAAAGCTGTCCACCATGCCTATCAGATTTGAGAAGGTGTACTGTATATTAAAAAATTTTAATTATAAAAATAAATCAGATATATAGTAAATTTTAAGCCAATGAATTTTTTAGTTAATATAAGAGTAAATAAAGTTTAAGTAATTATATAAATTTATGTATGTAATTTTAGGTTCAATTTTTATATATAATTAATCCTAATATGGTGATCTTTTGCTATATAAAAGAGTTATCTAAAGCAGAGCAGAATTTCATAATATATACACAATCAAATTATAGAATTTTGATAAAAAAACAAGAAATAAAAACAAAAAATACAAAAAACAGCAGTCTAAACCTACCTTATATAAGTTAATTAAAAATGTCAGAAAGACAATTTTGCTTATATATAATTTATAAAATCTAACCAAACTCTAATATAAAATAACTCTAACTCTAAAATTAATTTAATAAAATATAGTATATATTATAAGACCACTTTAGATATTCCTAAATATAAAAATTAATCTAGCTTGATTCACTAGTCTGTTTTAGATAATTTTATTACTAAATAACTATATTGATAATTCAAACAATTCTGAAATTATTAAACTCCAATTACAAATCTAGATATTATTAAAATTTTGTATACAATTTGGATATATTAAAACAAAATAAGACACAAAACCTAAATTAAAAATGCTTTTAAGTATCTAAATCAATAGACTAAGTTTAATTTTTAATTAGTAAAAAACAAATTATTTGATTAAGTGTGTTCATTATTGTGATAAAAAAAAAACTATCTTTTTTTATTATAGAGTTGTGTTGATAGGCTAAAATTTAATATTTACATTTTGCAATATGAATTTTTAACAAAATTACTATAAAGTTTATTTCAATTAATCATAATACATATGTATAATCTTTAATTACACTAAGAGATATTTGAAAATACTCTAAGTCTATTATATATAATATTTTGTTAAAGTTTTCATAATTATTGATCTGTCATATAATCATATGATTTGGTCAAACTAATATAGATAAATTTAACTAAATCATAAAATTATATAATTATATAATATAGTATGATAATATGAGATAACAGCATATTGGTATGGTAGCAATTTTTTGCCAGAGTAACAATTGGCTATCATGTGCCGCAAAGCGGTACATGACAAACAATTGTTACATTAGCAAAAAATTGTTGTCGTATCAACATGCTGTATCTCAAAATTATCATGCTATATTGGTATTATAGTTCGGCGGTCATTGATCATAATTTATACTATTTATGTTTTTTAAATAATTTTTCAATTTATATTTATTGTATAATCAAAATTTGATATAAATATTTAATAAATAGTTTATCATTAATTTATATACTCTTTCTTAAATCTGGTTCAAAAATTATTTTTTATTAAACGATGCCAAAAGAAAGTCAATCTAAAACATTTGTGCAACCAGCTCAAAATGAAATAGATTTTTTTTGCAAAAGTTTATTGTTAAAAATACAGAAAAAACTACAAATAATTGGATATTACAGTTTGAACGATACAGAAAAGAAAGTAGATATCTGTTTCAACTTTATAAAGTACTATCACTTATTGAATTAGAACAAATTCTTGTTTTTTACTTTATTCAAGCTAAAAAAAAAAATGGACAAGACTATACTATTGCATCAATTAGATCAGCAGTTAATGCATTCACATATTATCTTAATGAAAAATCAAATCTAAAACTGGTTGATCTTCTTGATTGTATCAAATTTTCATAGTTGCACAAACTTCTTGAAGGAACAGTTCGATATCTTGCCAAAAAAGGCTTAGATGAAACTAAAGGATCAGTTGGATTAAGCTTAGAAGAAATTAAAAGAATTCTTGATCATCACTCTACACATGTTGGGCATCTATGGGGATTATTAAAATGGGTATTCTTTTGCAATGCTATATTTCTTGGATTATGAGATGGAAAACATTACTTATTAAAGGCATCAAGCTTTATTAAGAATAATGAAAATTATGAAATAGTAATTTATAAGAGTAAAACAAATTAATGTGGTCTCAATTCATTTTTAAATTGTAAAAAAATATGCTTACCTTCGAATAAAGAAATTATTCAATTATATAATTTTTATTTGTTTAAACGACCTCCTAAAGCTAATGAGAATTTTTATTTGCAACCGCTTAAAGATCTTAAAGGTATATATATTAATATAAATATAATATATTTGTATCAGTATTTTATTATTATTTTTAATCATACTTTTATTTATAAATCCTGAACAAGTAGAATTCTGGTATAAAAATTCACACATAGGAGAAAATAGGCTTAAGGGTTTTATGTGTATGATTACACAAGAAACTGGTATTGAACTAACAAATAGAAAGATTACTAATCAATCAGGTCAAAAAACTTTAATTCAAAGTTTAAAAGACATGGGTAAATCTGATTATGAAGTTATGATGAATTCAAGACATAAAATGATTAGTGGTATGATATTAGTAGTGATTTCGTATGTAGTGTAATAAAAAAAAATATGTAAATTAATTTATGTTTCAGGTTATTGGATTCTATAAAAAAGGGTTGTACGTATAAATTTGTTTAATATTTGTATTTGCATTTGTAAAAAAAATTTTTTTGTTGCATATTCAATACAAATGTTAAAAAAATTTAAATAACACATTTTAATAGGGCATAGGTGTTACTATCATAACTTTCTGCGCCCCGATATTATATGTTTTTAATTCTTATTCCATTATTTGTATTATTCCCTGTTAGTACGTAAATGACTTGTGATCTTAATAAAAAAAAAAATTTTTTTTATTATTGATAGCATTATCGGTCAACAAATATGTCCCCTGATCTGCAATATATAATAAAATCTAAATCAATCTTGTACCACTATTATATATATTTATTTATCCCGTACTAGCAACTGTTAATTTCTAAAAATATGTATTTTGAAT